AATCACTGTACCAATTAACGTCGACTAGGAAACAACGTTCGGTAACCGCAGGTTGGTTTGAAATAGACAAACACTATTCGTTAGAATTGTGTTTTTCTATTGAAAAACAACCGGATATATATGCTGTGCCGCAAGGCACCGATGTCGGGCGGCGCAGCCTATAGTCAAGTTGCAGCCTGAAGCGTGGCTGAGTGAAAGCAGTGGGCACCAATAGAGCCATGCATAAAGTTAGCCCTGCTGGCAAGCACGACATGCTTCTGATGCATTCTCGTCGGCCTGAATCAACTGGCTTGGGCCAAGAGGATTTTGGCGCTCAGCTATACATTGTTACCAAATAAAAACTATCTAGAAAGGCAGCGGGGACTTGGGCTTATGACGACAATGAAGCCATGCGACAGCTCAACAGAGATCAATGAAGCCAACAGCCTGTCCACCTTATGAAGTATGTGTCACGGATGATAAATGAACAGGTCGCGTCCAGACTGCCCGGGGTCGACAGCCATGACGGCCAAGGGCCGGGGCCGGGAACCCAACACCACCCGCCCCACGCGCCAGGGTGGGCCGCCGCCGCCGCCACCGGCATCAGCATTTATTTATGGTGATGACTATGGTAATTAGGGATCATTGGATTTGCGATTCGCCCTTCTGTTGTGCATTCCGGTGGCGCACCATCGATTCCTTTCATGATGTGGTTTGGTAAAATAATTATCCCCCACCAAGGCCGCGGGTACGCTATACAACCAACAATACCACACAAGCGGTTAAAAGGGGGTTTGTATGATGCTCCAGCTTTCTTTTTTTCACCACCAGGTTTCCCTAGAAACAAGGATAGACACACTAGACGTTTTTACAAGGAAATGTCAATTAGCGTTGTTATTGAGCAGCCCAGGGGCCACCTTGTCACGTTAAGGAGGCCATGATCGCGTGTTTCAACATTTTACTGATGAGATCAGACGGCAAAAAGCAGAAGGATAGCCTTCGTCCACAAACATGCTGTAAACTCAAAACTGAATGCTACCATGCATAAGAATCCTTTTGGTGGGTCACGTAGAATGTAAGTACCTGACAATAAAATATTTATTTGACAGGTCAACAAAGGTCATTACCCAAAAGCTAAGACAGGAACAATGACAACGCATTGTCATTACTTTCGTATGATTGCATATACCTTTGTCAACATTGTACATTGGCTGCTGACTTTTTTTTACCTGTATAGGAGTCTTACCTGATAACCGTCAACTCCTGGCAAATTAGCGTTACATACCTAGCGTAGTAAAGCCCTGGCAAAAAAAAACTGAGTTGTTTTGGAAACGACAAAGTTGTTAACGTTTTGACTATCAGAAAGCTACCCCATATGCACAAATCCGCTATGTAAGAAAGATAAAGCACCAAATGTATGACTAATTGCTAATTAGTATACAGATGGTGCAGTGTCCCATTCCGCCATCCACCTGCACTACCTGATGACATTTTCATGTCTAATAATAATCGGTGAGACCATATAACCTGTCATGTCCATTTATTCAGAAACTTATGAGCTACCAACCATCAACTTTCCCTCCCTCCCCTTTCATCATTTAGCGATTCACGTCAAACGACCAAAACAGTCACCTTGTCCCTGGAGAACACCGCGACGTCTCAGTCTACACCTACCCAAAGTCATTATCGGGCAGACAATGGCACAAAACTTGTCGCATCTGGTGGGAGCCCACCCCTGGGGTTTTCGCGGCGGCGAGGACCCGTTCGATCCGCGCCGTGCGGCTGTCTCACGGCCGCCAAAGCTGCCGGGATCGATTCCAGGTCACCGCCGGGGAATCGACCCGAGGCAGCTGCTCGACCGGCCGGCCCTGGCCCCGGGGAGGGGGAGGGGTAGGTACTGACCGCGGGGGAGGGGTGCGGGTCGGTCAGTCGACCCGGTCCAACGGGGGCCCCTAATAAAAGCACACACCTGCCACCCAGGCTGCCGTCAGTGCCACTTTCCGACATCGGTAAACGAATGAATTGCTGAGTGGAACGGGTGACATTGGGTACTGTGATCGACGGTGAGCATTGGATCGATCGCCATTGACCACAGCTCAGTAACAATTCGATTTCATTGCTCGATCTCACGGCATTAGAGGCTCGCCTTGATTTTGGAGGTCAGTGATGATACAGATGTGGTACTGTTTTGTTCAAATCGTTCCACAGCAGTTTGCATTGAATAAACAAGAATGCATGAAAAATATCAAATAAGTTGAAAATGGAAAAAGTTTAAATGTTGTAAGTGGCTCGACTAAACAAGAAGACCTGCCTATGTTCACTCAGCTAATGATTTAAACAAAAACAGCATGTCTGATAAAGGTCAAAGCTTGCATCCTATTCACCGTAAAATAGTTCGCTTTTTGTGACGATTCAGTCCGCGCTCGTATACTCATGCTTTTGATCACCCAAACTAAGAAACGGCTGCTCCGTCTTTTCGCTGATTGTTATGAATGAATGATAATGTGTGGAATATATTGGGCACTTTTTACGGTTTGGATGGTAAAAGCAGTACCTAGTGTTCAAAGTAAACTTCTAAAAACAACATTGTTCAAACAAAACGCAAATAAAACTTCTTGTAGGCGCATATGTGTGCTGTGCAATTTCTCTATTTTGTGTTCGAGTGTTTTTCGCTGCAGCCTTTCTACCGTTACCTGCTGGTGCGGAACATATATCATCGTTCATTACAAGAAACAGCAATATGCAACTGGCAAAACAACAATGCTCATTCATTCGCAAGGCACCCACACTGGTGCCAGTAGTAAAATTACACAAACGACACCCAGGAAACCACACCACAGTCCAAAGAGCCCACCAGTAATAGGGTTAAGGCGTTTGATGATTTGGACTTACAAAATAATAGAAAACAGATTGATGCTAGTCTTGTCAGAAAACTGTCATTTGGATATAACTGTTCAACTTTCGAACTAACTATATAACTCAAATAACACACACACAACCCAATTTCCTTCCGAAGCAGCACACAATTCGGATACCATCTCCTAGCTAACAAAATAGGGCCAACTGTAATTGTTACCTGGTAACAGAAATTTTAACTTCGATAGAAAGGTCTGGCATACTAAACCTGCCAGCAGTGTCTGATTTTGGTTGATTGTGAGGTGGTAGGAAATGTACGAATGTGAGCCTTCCTCTATTGATCAGTGTCAAGGGCCCGCTTCACATAAGAAGATCCATATTCCAGGGACAAGAAACGAAACACTCCACGCGGATCCCCTCTAAATGAGTTGCTAAAGGAGTTCAAAAGTGCTTCAAATAAGCAAGTGAAAAAAAAATACAGACCCATCAAAGCCATAAGGATACGATGTTTTCGTTATATCTGTGAAGAATAGGTTTGGTCTTTTTCCAATAATTTATTCTTCCAAAACATGACTTTAGCTGGCTGGAGCTGCCTACGTTCATATAACATGCTCGCCATGGCGAGCCGTTCCGTGGCTAGCTCATCTTCAGCCGGCTGCAGCCCGCGACATGAGATATCGGCGGCGGCACCTCAGTGGGACACCGCTCCATATCGCCCCGACCGCGCCGTATCCAGGGATGAAGGGTACGGATGGCGGCCTTTCACCGCTCCTTCCGTGGATGAGGTCGAGGACGGGCAGATAACACGTGCGACAGAGCCGAGCCGACAAATGAGCGGCGACCCGGGAGACGATGAAGGGGTTCCGGACAGTTTAAAATGTGATCGTTAAATGGGAGAACTGAGGATCACTGACTGATGAAGGTGCAGTGATGCAGGTGCAGTGTTTTGTAACACATTCTGGTCCACATTACAAGAATACCAATGTGCAGTGATGTTACATTCTTTTGAACGCCGCAGGTGCCTTATGCGCTGTGTGTGTGTCTGTGTGTGTTGTGTTGCTATTCAGCTGCAAGTAACCGTGGCGTCACCACGGGACGTGTAATTGAGATGCCGGCAAAACGTTGCAGCGCTGCTTTGAGCCTATGCAAACACCTGGAATCAGCTGCAAAGTTGTGGACGGTTCGGTGACCATTAGGGGAATGAGTTTTGGGACGGAATGCACGCATACTGTAGCAGTGAGAACGATGTTTTCCTTTCTTAGGTTCAGTTTTATTAAACACATTTTCTGCCAAGGTGTACATACTTTGATGCATTACATATTCGCAGTTATTCAGCACCAGAAATAGCCCGTTCGCCGCCTTTACGCGTACAACTTTCAAATATTTCTGAACCACCGGTGCTCTCCCAACTTCAGTTCATTCTGACGCTATTATACCCAATGCCAGCATGAAATATTTTCCCGTCCATAGCGGAGATTGATTATCTGCTCCCAAATGAAGGACATAAATCGTTCTGTCGGGACATAATGCTGCCTCCATGTATGACAATCTCGCTCTAACACAAAACCAGAGGCCTCACCAGAGCGTTTCATAGCCATTCGAAGCGATCAGTGTGCCGTCATGGATTTTTATTCAGAACAATCCATCGTATCGTTTGACTGGATTGCTTCCTTGATCGCAGTTTCACCGAACACTCTGTCCGGCTGTCAGGGAGATATGTGCTGCCCGGTGAAATGTCTGGCGAGCGCTGGGGGTCTTATCTGGCCCATAGCGGAAAATACACCTCCTCTATTTCCTGCAGGGCGGCGATTGTTTGTCTTGCCGGGCTCGACAGGCGCCGCTGATCATGTGTCATATATCGCAGACTTCCTCGTCGCTCATGTGCCGTGAACATTCGAGCCCAAACCAGCAACATATCCATCACCTCTGCAGGCTCTGCCTCCACCGTGCAGCCTTATAAACGTCATCGAAAAACTGTGTGTATTTTCCAAAACACTCCCGATCCTCCAGAAAGTAATTTTCACAGCCACCACACAGCTCTCAATCCTTCACTGTGACACGGCGTCTCAAAGTCGCGCTATTACACGGCGCCCCTGAAGCGCACACCTGTGACACGGCGCTCCTGAAGCCGCCCTCATGTGACACGGCGCCCCTCTCGCCCACAGCGCTGGTGCTCACCGACCTGGGCAAGCTGCAGATCTCGGCTGGCGGCTCCCAGATCACCACTGCGTCCGCCGTGGTGGAGGACTCGGTCGACCACAGCCCGCGGCCGGCAAACACAGCCGTCTCATGAGATGAGGCGGCGCCGGCCGGCGGCGCCGACCCGGACAGCTCGCCGCGCGGGTCCTCTCCGCGCGTATCCTCTCCGCGCCGACCCCCGCCGGTGCACATCGTGGAGAACCCGCTGCGGCCGAGCTCGCGCTCCCCGAGCCCAGCCATCGCCATCGACGAGACGGTGCGCTGCGGCGCGGCCGGCGACTGCGACCGCTGCCTGCCGCCGGCGTCCCCCCGCGCCGTGCGCTTCTACGGCGATCCCATGCCGTCGGCGCCGCAGGCTCCGCTCGCCTGCTCCGAGCCCGGGCTAGAAATCCGGCTCGAAGCGCGTCTCGAGACGCGGCTCGAGACGCGGCTCGAGACGCGGCTCGAAGGACGGTTAGATAACCACAAGGACGGTCTGCCGAGTTACGAGTCGGCGGCGCGCCGCTCCGGTCAGTGGTCCGAGGCGCGGTGTGACAGTACGGTGTCTGGCGCGTCGTCGGGCGCCCCCGACTGGCGAGACGCGCCCGCTGACCGCGCGGAGGACGCGGTGCTCAAAGACTGGTCTGGCGAGCTGGAGAGGGCCGGCGAGAAACAGGACGAGTGGCAGGACGAGGGTGAGTCGATTGTAGCCAACTGTAGCGACTCGCCATTGTCCAACTGTTTGGACTCACCCGAGCTGGTGCCGCGTATTGGCTTCCATAACGATGTGAAGGAGTGTGCCATATGAGCAGCGCGCGCCGTGTGGCCAAGCTGTGGATACATGCGGGTGACGACTGTGTAGGTTTCTGGTTTTGGAAACGGTGTTGAGCTGCGTGAGAGCGTATTTTGAACTCCCCTACTGCTGGGTTGTGACCACTACTGCCGGTTATATCGGTATCTGTGTGCCGTTTCGTTGTCTCTCCCGGCGCCCCGATGCGACAGGCGCTCTGCCAGATAGCCCGGGGGACTGACCGGTGACCGTTGGTCGCGCCGATCACCCCTGGGCTGTCCCTGAGCCCCGCGGGCCCTGTCGCCTCGGAGCACGCCCCTCCCACCCTCACCCCACCCGGCAGACAGTCGGTGATCTGTAGCCGAGAGTTCCCGGACACGGGACCCATTCTTCCCCCATATGTTTTCAGCTCACGTCGTCTGCTGAATCCGGTAGCGGCGTGACATTACGTTATGTCCGTCCTCTGTATTTTTCTGGAGTTGCGTCAGCAACAACCAAGCTGTAGGTAGTTGCTGCAATTGGGAGAAACTTCTATGAATTTTATTGCAGGGGTTTGTGTGAGATTGCTCGCTAGTCATATTTCAGCCTCTGATTTCACATTGTGTGATAAATGATGTGTGTTGTACGAGTAATGTTGATCACACAAAGCGCTCATTTCTGTAACTGTGTAACTTATAACTTGTCGCCAATACTCAATACTTGTGCGGAATGCGACAGGAACGAGGATGCGGAATCAAAAAGGACAAACAGCTTCGGATGACCGATTTCTGCATCCCAATAAAAGCGACGCAATCAGCCCTGTCGCAATTGTGCTGGTGCTTTGAAGATCTGAGCGAGTCTTCTTGTTCAAACATTGGCGTGAATGTGTAATTCGCGGTGGCATTGATGACGTGGGTTACTGTGATTGGTTATTACGAGTGAGGAAGCACACAGTTTGCTGAGTGAGTCGAACACAATGTCGCATGTCATGTGGCAGAGCCGTACCTAATGTGACATCAGTGTCAAATCAATCACGGTGACAGATTTCAGATTGGCTGCATTCGTTACCAGCGGCACGGGGAAATTACGGAATGATTGATGAACATTCCATGTGTTACGGAATGGTTGTAATGTGTACTGTTCTCAACATCAGTGTAATATAATTGTTCCACAAGAAATATAAATAGAAATATCTCAACGTCGATGGTTGTGTCTATTAACATCGAAGTCCATCATCTCAATGGTCGCACAACACATGTAACTATTGCACGTTCCGATGGCAATATGCATATTGCCTAGTCATCGAAACGTTTCCACGAGACGTCTACTTACTTTCCGAAGAATCTTTTCTGGCTAAGCATGCGTCTATCATGGTTTATTTGTATGAGCTACTGGCTCTAACCTTTCGTTAGTCAGGCCCATGAAGACGGACGCACAGCAAAGATAGCTCAAAGAAACGTATGTTGTACTCCTCAACTTTTACGCCGATCCTCCCGGCTCCCGCCACCCTGGCCTGTCCCTCACCCTCCCCCCCCCATTCCCCGGTGCTCGGTCCCTCCCAGCGCCCTCACCCAGACCTCTGTCCCTCCCACCACCCTCTTCCCAGACATCTGTTCCTCCCTCCCTGCCCCGGCAATGGGGCCCTCCCCGGTGCCCTGCCCCCTCCCCGGTTCCCCGGGGCTCGGCGGAGGATCGCGTGCCGGTCTTTTTGCAGATCCTCTGGCCGCGGGTGCCGGCTGCCATTGGTCGGTGACCGGGCACCACGGACCGCCGCTGGATGATAGCCGACAGCCGGGATCCTCCGGCCGGCCACGCAATCACTGCCGCCCCCCCCCCCCTCGCCTCCTGGCAGCGGCCATCCCCATCGGTATCCTAGCCGCAACTCATGTCTGATATCTCTCTCGCGAACGTTTCCCTCTGCAGTCTGGGCCTCTGCTCTCGTTCCAATAGGCTGTCTTGAGCAGCGTCACAGGATCCAACCTACTTCTGGAAGGTCACATACCGATTTCGTAATTTCACTGCAATTAGATTCCACAGGGTAAAAACTGACCAGGAAGTTTGCCTTGCCCAAGCCCCTGACTTCCTGAGACGTCCGAAGACGGAGTCTGAAATCCTCAGCTCAATGCACTGACCTCGTGTGAGCTGTGACCCGGACTTCTAACTAACCCCGACCTGAGTTCGAGCGTCTCACTGTTTCCTTGACACCGAATGAGCCGTATAGAGGCGGACGCGAAGTGACCAAACACTGTTGGTTTCGTTCTGTTGGCGTCCCGCTGAGCACGTATGCACACACAGCAGCTAATTCAGCTGTCAGGGTGTTGATGCCGGACTCATTCCCCTTATACCGTCAGACCCCGAGTGTGCTAATAGCATGGTTGGCGGACCACCTCCGATGAGCGGTGGCGGCCTCAGGCATCACAGTCCCGCCCCGGCCGGTGCGGTCGATACGGCCCCAGCACGATTGTACCGGCCACATTCATCTTTCAGGCCTTTTTTGCGGCGCAATGAAGGAAGACAATGCCCAAGTGGCCTTACACCCACTCGATAGCTATCAATCTGGTTAGTGACTGTGTACCGGGCCTTCCGAAGCTTGTTACGTAAGGTGGGTGCCAGGAACGCAACAACACACCACACCATCCATTATGAAGCCTCGATCACTATGCAACGCCTGTTCTATAAGACGTCCTCGCTCTATAGCTATGGGACAGAATACGCTAGCGCCGGTGTCTATGAAAAGATGCAATATTAGATGGCCGCCATGACTGTAAAAGCTTTTGGAATACAGAATGCCAAAGACGTGTATTTATGTGCTGTCCTAAGATATGATGGCTTTATATTCCTATTGTCCCTTTCTTACTAGGCGGTGATTAGCTGCCTAAAATTTGGCGACCTGTTATACACACAAGCACAGGAAACACAACCTAACAACAGGGTTCACGTGCCAGAGGCCGGGTTCAGTAACTGGCATTTCTGCCTTCCCCAGCCATGAGTTGAAATTCATTTCAGATCCCTGCCATTTCTCGAGTCTCGCCGCACCATTAACCTTCTCCCGCCTCTTCCGAGCAGACGCTAAGACGCCAATGACCCACTGCCAGCGTGCCCAGAGCTGTCGTCAGCGCCATTGTCCAACTCGGAGCTGACATGACGGTCTCCTCCTCTGGAGAATGGATCTCATATAGGGCGCCGTTGAGCGATACTGGAGAGAAATGTGCTGTGCTGTTGCCGATCGAAGTCACTGGCGCTGACCGCAGTGCACTGTTGCAGTTCGCGTGCAGTTCAAAGGTCATAATGGGGCGTCGGAGAGCGTGTTTTTATCGGAACTAAGTGAAGGAAGAACATGAATTTTTAAGGATGTAGGCTCAGTGGCACGGCAGGAATGGTAAAATTGGCTATAAAATTAATAGATTAATTAAACTTTTATCAGTTGTAGAGCCACAGCTTGCTGCATGACATGTCTAATCGTTAAACAGAAGCGAAGTCAAGATGGCACCCTTTGATAACTTTGTCTAAGAAACATGTTCCTTGCGGTTGGGCTTATTCAAGCGATCGTAAATTGAAAATTACTTCCAGCATTGGCACCGGTATGAGACCTTGTGATTCTTTACAAGCAGTTGCATGGTCCCCACCTTCATCGAAAAGTCGTACCGATAAAATAAGGACAAGATACCAAGTAAACCGCATTAACAATGCCTCACCTTCACTCAGGTTATACACGTACAAAGTTCAGAAACAAAGTTGGCTCGCACCTCAGGATGTCAAAAAGTGAATATCCGAATAGGTAGCACCCATATGTTGTTAGCCATACCTTGAACATTGCATACTGCATGCCTACGACTTATACGCCGCTGTGTAAGTAGTGTGGACCCTATTTACCGGCAAGTTACTCGGCCAGCGTGGCGCCTCAGGTCTATTACGGAGGAGTGCGGCTACAAGCCGTTGGTGTGCGTCTGTCAGGTGTAAAGGTGTTTATGGGTCAGGCTGCAAGGTGGAGGTGACAGGTCACTGACGTCACTGACGGGTCACTGACGGGTCACTGACACTGACGGGTCACTGACGGGTCACTGACAGTCACTGACAGGTCACTGACGGGGTGCGACATGAGGGTGAGCACGGGGCTGGCGCTGACTGGACATGGAGGCAGCGTGCTGGTTTCCGGAATGGGCTGAGGAAAACGTGCGGTGGGTAGAAGGAACAAGCTTTTTTCAAAAGAAGGTATGTACAATTAATTTCATCTGTCATTCACAATCATCCATTCATTCATTCATTCATTCATTCATTCATTCATTCATTCATTCATTCATTCATTCATTCATTCATTCATTCATTCATTCATTCATTCATTCATTCATTCATTCATTCATTTGGGTTGCCTTCGTAGTTGGGACTATAGTCTAGACTCTAGAACTTCTAAATACCAACCTTTGTAACCCAAAATTTAGCCAATCTTTAGATATTTTAGATATCTAGATATTTTTATATTTAGATATTTTAGATATTTTATCTCGCCGTCTTCAAACTATTATTAATCGCTACCTACATACATGTACCATCCAAACCATGTACTATGTACCATACAAACACTTCATGACTGCAACCTGGTACGCTGCAAAAACATGCCCTTTGCCATG